GGAATCACAAGCCATCGATGTACATCTGATATCGAGCGCTCGTTCGCGCATACGAATGCGTGGAAGGAATTTCAAGAGTTATATTTCAAGCTGAATCAAGGACGCACGATAAGAGTTCAAGAATGTGAAGTTTTTCCTAAAGGTTTCGCAACCTCTCGAGGATAAATACAGACGTTTTCGTACCGATACGCGATACTCTACTAAACCTGCTCATGACCTATAAGACCTATGTAACCTAGGCTTTGATACCAAATTGTCACGACCCTAAACCCAGAACCGATCGTGATGGGGCCTCTCGTGAAGACAAGGCCAGCCGGCATATTTCCAATCCAGTTTTTAAGAAATTAAACAGTAAGCATTATGTCTAAAACATGATATAAACTCAGAAGTACAATGACAGTACAAAACAATTCACGGAATATAACCCAACTCAGCCCGATACCGAGGTATCACTAGTCATGAGCATCTACTACAATTTGCCTAGCCATATCAATACCGAAAAGGTCTGAAAAATCACAATAATACATAAGGAGGAATAAAGAGGGAGAAAGCAGAGCCGCGATCGCCAGACAGCTACCTTGCTAACTCCATTGACAACTGCCACCAAGCTCAGAAAATACCTGAATCTGCACATAAGGTACAGGGAGTAAAATGAGTACTGCCAACTCAGTGAGTAATAATCATAACTAAAGTCTGAATGGTAAGAAATCACGAAAAGAGCATCATCATGCTGTATAGAAGCAGTTTCAAAAGCAAGTAGAAAGCAATGAAGCTGTAAAATCCATTAAAACATCTTAGCTCAGTTTAAACTTCTTTTAAAAAAATGACTTTTCAACAGTTACGCAAATGAATGCAGAACAACTAGTGCAGATAAGCACAGAAATTTGCCCCTTGGGCACAAATACACAATTAAACAGGTAAATGACAGGCAAATAAGAAAGATAAGCACATAAGGTTCGCCCGTCGGGCACAATGTCAACAAATCCTCCCCTCGTGCAGTATCTCAGATCAGTACCAGCCCCTCGGGCAATCACATAGAACAATACTAGCCCCTCGGGGAATCACATAGAACAATAGCAGCCCCTCAGCCTATATCTCACATCAGAATGGGTACCCGCGCTCACTAGGGGTGTGCAAACTCCTGGAGGGGCCCCTTACGGCCCAAGCGCAATAACAAGCCATCTCGTGGCATCAAATCTAGGTCCTCGGCCTCATATCAATCAAGCCACCTCGTGGCGTACATATCTCAGGCCCCTGGCCTTAAATCAACATCATTGTATCACCGTTGCGGCGTGCAGCCCGACCTAAAAGATATCCTCACAACACAGGCCCTCGGCCTTACTCAGTCAAAAATCACGTAAGCCTCTCGGGCACAAGTAAAACAATGTTTCTCAACCCAAAACATCATTTAAATATCATTCTAGTCTTAAAACTGAGTGAACATCGCTGAGTTTTGAAAACAGTGGAAATTAAAGTGACTGAGTTCAAGCATAAAGTCAAAACAGTGAGGAAATATCAACAAAGATCCTAGAAGGGTTCAAATAGTTGGCACGAAGCCCAAATATGGCATTCAGCCCAAATAATGATGATAACAAATAGATTTCAGTCAACTACGGGGTAAAATCATCAATTGGGACGGACTAAGTGGCAGTCCCCAATAGTGCATGACCCCACGCTCGTTATCAAGCGTGTGCCTCACCTCAATATAGCACTATGATGTGCAATCCGGGGTTTCAAACACTCAGAACATAATTTACAATCATTACTCACCTCGAACTGGCTACATCTATAGCTCGCGATGCCTTTACCCCTCGAATCGGCCTCCACGCGCGTCGAATCTATCCAAAATCAGAACGAGGGCATCAAAATATGCTAAGGGGACAAAGCCCAAGCAAAAACAATCAATAAAGGGCACAAATCCCGAAATTACCAAAACCCGACCTCCAGGCCCACATCTCAAAATTCAGATATTTTCACACCAACGGGTTTCTTATCTCCCCATGAGTTCGTACATATCAAGAATACAAAAACCGGAGTCCAAATCACCCTCAAATCCCTATTTAGAAGTCTCTTAAACTCAAAGCCCTAATCCTCCATTTTTTGCCCTTTAATCCTTTTAATTACAGCCTTAATCCATGAAATACTACCATAGAAATGTGTTTTAGGTCCAAAAATCCTTACCTTAACGATGTCTCTTGATTTCTCTCTTCAGAATCACCCAAAAAGCTCCAAGGTTGAAGTCAAAAATGGTGAAATAACCCAAACTCGTGAAATGAAATAACATATATGCTTTGCCCAGGCCTTTCTGCATCTGCGGTCAAAAATCCGCTTCTGCGGTACTGCATTTGCGGTCTAAACCTCTGCTTCTGCGGAATCACTTAAGTTCCCAAAAATCGCATCTGCGATAAACAATCCGCACCTGCGACTCCGCAGGTGCGGTCCCACACCGCATCTGCGGTTCCTGGAAAATTCTCAACCATCCGCTTCTGTAGCTCCTCTTCTACATGTGCGGTGCCGCACCTACGGTCCCCAAACCATAGGTGCAAAAACACCAGCAACAGCAAAAAAACTCAGCAGCTTCTAACTTCACAAATGGTCTGATTGACCACTCGAAACTCACCCGAGGCCCCCGGGATCTCAATCAAAGGCACCAACATATCCAAAAACCTTATTCAAACCTGTTCCAATCATCAAAATACTTCAAACTACATCAAATAACCAAAACACCTCGGATTCAAGCCTAGGCTTCTAAAATCTTCCGAATTCCTCTTTTGATGAAAAACCCAACCAAACCCCGTCCGAATAACCTGAAATTTTGCACACACATCACAAATGACACAACAAAGCTATTACCACTCTCGGAATTCCATTCCGACCCTTATATCAAAATCTCGCCTACCCATCGGAGATTGCCAAAATCTAAATTTCGCCAATTCAAGCCTAAACCTTCCACGGACTTCAAAAATGCATTCCGATCACGCTCCTAAGTCCCAAATCACCTAACGAGATAACTAAATAATAAAAATGCGGATCCCAGATCATACACAAGCAAGTCAAATATTGGTCAAAGCTTTCAAATTTCAAGCTTCAAACTGGGAGTTATTCTTCCAAATCCATTCCGATTACCCTAAAAACCAAAACCAATGATTTACATGAGTCGTAATACATCACACGGGGCAAGTCATGCCCGGGAACTGACGAATAAAAATGCAAAAACTCTAAACGACCGGTCAGGTCGTTACATTCAGTAAGGTACTCCCAAGTAGCTTGAGCAGCATCAATACCTGACCATTTAACCAAGACTTGACATGCAACCTTGTTTCCTTTCTTGACCAACCTTCTACTCAAGATGCCTTCAGGCTCAGGACAGTAAGGACTGGATAAATGCAGAACAGGTGGATGAGAAATGGTAGCAAGAACTTCATGGCACTTCTTAAGTTGAGACACGTGGAATGTTGGGTGAATCAAAACATCTGCATGTAGTAGTAATCGATAAGCAACAACTCCAACCTTGGCAGTAATAGGATAAGGACCAAAATACTTTGCTGCCAGCTTATTGAATAGCCTGGAAGCAACTGAGATTTGTCTATAGGGTTGTAATTTCAGATAAACCCAATCTCCTACCACAAAGCTCCTATCAGACCTATGCTTGATAGCCATGTCCTTCATCCTCTGCTGAGCTCTGGCCAGATGGAATTTCAGCAGCTGTATTACGGCTTCTCTAGTAGCTAATGATCGATCGACCATATCAGTAACAACTTCACCAACCAAATAGGGAAGATGTATTGGATGTTTCTGACCATACAAAACTTCATAAGGAGTGCATTTGATTGCAGTATGATATGTAGTGTTATACCCCCATTCAGCTAGTGGTAAATGAGCTGACCAATCGCGAGGTCTGTTAGAGCAAAAACACCTAAGATAAGTCTTCTAGGTTCTGTTCAAAACCTCTGTTTGACCGTCGGTCTGAGGGTGATAAGTAGTGGATCTTTGTAGCTGGACACCCTGTAGAGCAAAAAGTTCTTGCCAAAATGAACTGAGGAATATAGGGTCCTTATCACTTGTCACTGTAACAGGCATGCCATGAAGCTTGTAAACATTATCTAGGAAATATTGGGCCACTAACTGAGCAGTATAAAGATGTTGCAAACTCATAAAATGCCCATACTTGCTCAACCTGTCTACGACAACAAGAATCACCTCTTTGCCATTAGACTTAGGAAGACTTTCTATAAAATCAAGGCAAATATCAGTCCAAACACCTTCAGGGATTGGAAGAGGTTGCAGAAGAGGAAAATATCTATTATAAGCCGATGCATCATACTTATGCCTTTGACAAATGTCACATTTGTTAATGAATTCTCTAGTATCCTGGGAAAGAGTTTTCCAGAAAAATAGAGACTTCAACCTTTTGATTTTTGCATCCATGCCTGAATGACCTCCCTGGGGGGTAGAGTGCCACAACCTAATAATAGATTGCCTGAGTTGATGGTCTGGACCTACAACCAACCTGCCTTTCCACCTCAACTGAGAATTAATCCAAGTATAAGATCTAAAAGGTTGAACTTGTAATTTTGCAATTAGCTCCTTTAATGAAGCATCTGAAGACCAAGTTTCTTTAATCTGAGCATATAAGGGTTCATTACGGGACAACAATGAAATAGCTAGAAGTTCAGCTTCCTCATTTCTAGATAAAGCATCCACGGCCTTATTCTCATTTCCCTTCTTATACTCAATAGAAAAGTCAAAAGCCATAAGCTTAGAGATTCCAGCTACTTGGAACTCTGTATGTATGTTTTGCTCCAGCAGGTATTTCAAGGCCTTCTAGTCAGTTTTGACAATAAAGTTCCTTCCTAGGAGATAGTGTGACCTCTTCGTGACAGCAAAGATGAGAGCTAATAGCTCCCTATCATAAACACACATAGATTGATGTTTAGGAGCCAGTGACTTACCAATATAGGCAATTGGATGCCCCTGCTACATCAGGACAACACCAATGCCTATTCCACTTGCATCAGTCTTAAAATGAAAGGCTTTGTATAATCGGGCATGGCTAGAACAGGTGCAGTCACCAGGGCATTATTCATTTTTTCAAAGGCTATTGTAGCTTCATCTGTCCAATTGAAGTTGTCTTTTCTTAGCAGTAAGTTTAGAGGTTTACAAATTGCACCAAAATCTCGGATGAATCTCCTGTAATAACCTGCTAATCCTAAATGCACATTTGGATGGCTTAGCATGCAGCTGATGTCGCACCATTAACTCAAACACAACCTTTAGATGCATAATATGACTCATACATATTTTTATTGTACATTAATATGTCATCGAAGAAGACCAAGACTGAATTCCTGAAAGGGGTTTAAAGACAGAATTCATAAGACTTTGGAAGGATGATGGAGCGTTAGTTAAGCCAAATGGCATAACTAAGAATTCATAGTGTCCTTTATGCGTTTTGAAAGCAGTCTTATGAACATCATCAGCAGCCATCCTTAATTGGTGATAACCAGCTCTAAGATCAATTTTAGAAAAAACCACAGCACCCCTCAATTCATCTAATAAATCTTCAATAATAGGTATAGGGAATTTATCCTTAACAGTCAGCTGATTTAGATCTCTGTAATCAACACAAAGCCTCCATCTACCATCTTTTTCCCCCACTAAAACAACAGGAGAAGCATAAGGACTGGTACTATGTTGTATCACTCCCTAATCCAACATTTCCTGCACAAGCTTCTCGATGACATCCTTCTTTATTCCAGGATATCTATAAGGCCTCTTACTAATAAGTATTGCTTTGTCTATGAGAGGAATTCTGTGATTGAAGGAACCTCTAAGGGGAGGCAATACAGTAGGAATTTCAAAAATGCTAGCATATTGCTCCAATAAGGTAGACAAAATAGGAGACATCTCATTACCTTGAGAAGCTTGTATGCTATTACAATGAATACCCTCTGCCGCATTTGTGATTAAGGACATCATAAAAAACTGAGCATCGTCCACATGCTTTTATTTAGAGTGCTGGTTTTAGTTGATTTCAGCTTGCTGCTAGCCCATCTCAGCACATGTTTCTTTCCTTGATAGACAATTTTAATTGCTCTATTTTTGAAATCCAATAAGATTCTGCCAAGAGTACTCAGCCGTTGTACTCCCAATACTATATCAACATTACCCAAGGGCAGGAGTAAAAAGTCTGAAGAGAATGTAGTGCCCTGTAGAAGCCATTGCAAGTTTCTGCATACAGACGCAGTTTGCACTCGTCTTCCATCAGCTACACTTATGGATTGCTCAGCTATGGGACTAGGCTTGCACCCTAATTTCCTGGACACCTCTTCATCAATAAAATTGTGGGTGCTTCCTGTATCAATCAACACTTGTAAAGGTCTCTTTTTATGATAACCAGTGACCCTTATGGTCTGATAACCTGTTACTCCAGTAAATGCCTGCAGAGAGATTGTCATTAGTTCATCCGATTCTATATTGATCTCTAAACCTTGCTCCAATTCATCTTCACCAGTAACGTCATATTCATCGTTCACATCTACCATGAATATCTGTTTTCTTGCCTTGCAAACATGCCCCGGTTCATATTTTTCATCGCAAAAGAAACACAGCCACTTGGCCCGTTTTTCATCCATTTCTGCAGCAGTTAGCCTTCTACCAGGCAATCTGTTAGGTTTACTAGAATTTGGTTCAAAAGGTTTCTTAAATGTAGGATTTGATATGGGAGGTTTTTGGTGATTATGATGTTTAGAGTAGGAAGGGGTAGGTAATATAGAGTTCTGTGGTTTGAAAGAAGGTTTAACTCCCCAAAACTGAGCTTGTGCTTCGAAAACACCCTCCTGTAATCTAGCAATCCTGCAGGCTTGCATCAAGGTCCTTGGCGACTGAATCTTAACAGATTTATTCAACTCTGGTTTCAAACCCCCCAATAAACAACTAATAGCATTCTGATTTGATATATTGACCTCAGTCAAAAGTCTATCAAACTCAGCTTGATACTCCTTTACACCTCCAGTTTGCCTTAAATTCTTAATTGCTTCCATAGGGTCTTCAAAATCTTCTCCAAATCATTCATTCAAAGCTAACACATATTCAGTCCAAGTAGGGAACACACTTGTATTTCGTGACCTCATATAAGATCTATGCCAAGCAATGGCTTCCCTATCAAAATGAATTAAAGCCACCTTCACTCTCTCATCAAAAGAGATTTCTTCCATAGAAAAAACCCGATCCACCTTATACAACCAAGACCTCAAATCATACCCAAAAAGTCGAGGAAAATCTAATCTGGAAAATCGGGTAAAGAAATTACCAGTTGGAGTAGAGCCTGCTTGAAATTCTCGAGGTCGATTCAGACGACTCTGGCCCATCGAACAGTCACCGTCAAATGGAGATTCAATTCCCAATTTCTATGTTTCCTTTCCCTTCTGTTTAATGAACCCAATGGCCTCCTTGATCTCAAACAACTCCTTGTCAGTTTGTGTATTTCGATTAGTCAAGCTAGTCATACCCTCCATTAATTTCTGCAACTGTTCTTGAATTTCTGAAATTTTACCATCCATTCTATCAATAGGTTTGTCTTGATTTTTATCCCGACCCATGTCGATGTCAAGAATCGAGCAGCTCTGATACCAACTGATGCAACAAGAAGAATTGAGATGAAAAGAACTAACCTAGGAGCTGCAGCTCGAGGAAGATGAGGCTAAATCAGGGACTGATCCGAGATATTTAGCTAACTCGTAAGAGAGAGAGAGTATAGAGAGAAGAGAGATGTTATTATATCTGAATGAATATGTACAATACAATTGTCGTGATTCTTATACATCAGCTGGATGAAGGAATCTATACTGCTAACTACCACTCACTTTCGCTAAATTCTTATAACAAACTGTAACTAACTTCTACCAGTACTAACTAACTCTGCCAACTCAGCTTCTTCTCAAGGCTCAATTCTGCAATTGCATCAGTCCCATGATTTGTGCATCTTGCCTGGTCATTAATTATTTGCTTAATCTTTACAATATGCTATTAGTGTAAAAAAATCTTTCATTTATGTAATAAATAAGGAATATTATTATATTCTTAAATATTTTTTAAAAAGTGCTCAGCCACGTAGATTCTTCAATAAAAAGATTGCTGGTTTGCTTCGAACTCAGGAACCTAAAAGAATTGAACCCACTTTGCCATTAGGCTAAACGTTGCACTTGTCCTAAGCGGGGTCATCATAAATAGTATATTCTCATTTTCTGGAAGAAGGATAAACTATACATATATATAGTGCGTTATCTTTTGACGAAGCGAATTCATATGAATTCTCTTGACCCCATATGGGTCCGCCCCTGGGTTAAGTATGCATTGTTTTCCCTAAAAGATCTCATATTATTACATGATTCTTGCACCGTATATGCAGGTTCCCAATATTTTCAGCTATTAATGTAGGTCATTGTTCGCACACTTAATAATATCCGCCTTGAGCTAAGTTTTATGTGGCCCATCACCATGAATCACGAGTCTAACCCTCGAACTAAGTTTTACATGACCCATTACCATGATCGACGAGTCAATCTCACGATCTACGGGTCAATCTCCGAGATTTATTGTGTATCACTCGCATCAAACAGGTATTTATCTATTATCACCATACTTGTCCTGGCAAACCGAGGATATGATACTAGTTGTTGGGCTAAATCGGCCTACAAATATTTTTAATATAGCGTGATATTGTCTATTTTGCCATACCTGCACGATTTCCCCAAAAGATCACACCATTAAGAGAGCTCTATAGTTAATATGTAGGCTTTCACTCTTTTCAGCTATCAAAGTGAAACTTTGTTAGCACATCCAATTTTATCAAATTGGAAAATATTATTCGTCTATGCATCTACAAAATATTTTGAGTGAATTGGTATCAGGTACCATTATTCCTCATTCCTCTCCTTGCTACTTAATTACAGCTATTACTTGGTCCATCCAAAGGAGAAGGACATACTACAAGTTGATACACAAAACATAGAATATTTAAGATACTCTGGTCGACGACGAAGTTCGCATCTCTTTGCCCTTTTCTATGCCTAAAGAATGTAGCACCACCAAAATATAGGCTATAGCCAAATTAATTCCTCCACGTAAAGCTTGGGAGGAAGGACGATAGAAAGCGAATTTAATTTACTCGCTGAGATGAGTCTATTTCTTTTCTTTTCTTTTTTTCAAATGACAGAGCTCAAATATCTTGCCAGAGAAGTGAATAAAGTTGAGTTTAGGAATTCTATTCTATTGAATAGTTAATACAATTTTCATCCCAATTTATGAGATGCTCCTTCCTTTTTAATGAGTTCCTAAAGAATAACACATTTTTATATTTAATAATAATTTAACTTTAAAATACTTATTTATTTTTAATTAGATAATTTATAGTCACACAAATTGTATTCGGTAGAGATCGGGGCTTCGCGATTTCATTCTTTAGTCGAGATGGAAAGTCGCGTCAAGGAGCTAGGACGTCGAGTCCGAAATCGAAACCTCTTTTCGGATCGAGGTCGACGACAATCGCGGCCAGAAAGAGACAGACTCCGAGTGACATCAGTATAGCCTGATAACAAAAAAAAGCGAGATATCCGTGATTGATCGAGGATCATGGCGTAAATCTCGAAACGGATCGATCCACGGCGGTTAATCCAATGTTAATATGGTTTCCTATTATAATTAGAAGTGCACCTTATTTAGGACTCCTCTATTATATAAAAGAGGAATCCCATTCATTTGTAATGATCATTGTTCACTAAGAAGAATATATACACTCGTTACTTTCCTGCTATTATACTTACTGCTCATCAAAGTTGCTTTATCATTTACTGTTCATACTATTCCACCTCGAGACTATCCCGAGTCGAGGTCGAGATCTGACCAGCATACTGGTTTGATTTATTTTATTCTCTTATGTATTCATTTATTTTCTTGCTTATCAATTGGTATTGGATGAAATCACATATCCTTAAAACCACAATATAAGTTTAATTGTTATCCGAATTTGAGGGTAAACATGTTGGCGCCCACCGTGGGGCTAAGGACAATAGTGATTGTTCGGTGCTAATTCTGATAACACACATTATTTTATGCTTGTTCTTGTCAAGTATCTTTTCTCAGGTTAAAACATGTCAAACATGTAAAACATGGCCTCAGGTTTCACGGGAAAAACGACATTGTAATTGCTCAAGGAGTAGAGGTGCCACAGGCTAATCTCGGGGAGCACCGGTCGCCAATCTAGTCGATGTCAGTTCACATGTTGCTTTAAAGGCGGATGTAGGCGCGGACCCCGAAGGGAGTGTACGCAGAGAAGGCCGATCTGGTGGCCAAGGTACGCAGGGCGGAGGAGACGCAGGAGTCAGTCTCCAAGTGATATTCAAGATGCTACAGGCTCAGCAAGCCGCTAATGCTTAGCTATAAAATCAACATAGATCTCCGAGTGGGGTCGAGCCAGAAATCACTCATCGTATTGAGCCAGTGCCAAATAGGTCGAATGGTAACGAATCGGGGACCCATGATGTAATAATGAAAATGCTCGAGGAGCTCACCAAAAGAATTGAGTCAGGAGAGAAGAAAATCGAAGCTAATGATAAAAAGTGGAAACATACAACTCCCGAGTTGATTAGATACCGGGGCACCGCCAATCTTGAAAGGGATGGATTGAAAGAAATTTGTACAAAAAATCGCTCCCTCCGAGTGCGGCTCTGAAACCCATTCTAAAGAAGTTCCGTATGCCAGACTGTCACGACCCAAACCCCACACTGGTCGTGATGGCGCCTCTCGTGAAGACAAGGCCAGCCAGAACAACGCAAACACCTCTTTTAAAGTAATTAATTAACATTAACAATTCTAACACATGCTTAATATAGCCAATAATGCGGAACAACGATAACAACAAGGGAACCCATCCCGACACAGCCCTAATCGGGGTGTCACAAGTCACGAGCAGCTATTAGAATATAACTACCACTACAAGTTTGAAATATACAAATAGGACTGATAAAACAAAGGAAGAACATGCGGTGGTGCGAACGGTGGCAGTCACCTCGCTAAACTCCATTAACTTAGCCTCTGATCAGCTCAAAACCCCCTACCGGGTGAACAAATACCTGCATCTGCACACGAGGTGCAGGGAGTAAAGTGAGTACTCCAACTCAGTGAGTAATAAGGGTAAATAACAACAGAGCAGTAAGAAATCACGTAAAGCAAACCATCATGCTATATAGGGGTAGTGAAAAACCCTTTGAGAGAAAGCAGTGAAGCTATAAAACCTTTAGAAATATCTTAGCTCAGTTTAAAACCTCTTTCGAAAATGACTTTTTCAACAGTTATGCAATTGAATGCAAAACAAATAGTGCAGATAAGCACAGAAGTCCACCTCTCGGGCACCAAACTCGGTTATCAGATAATACCAGAACAACAGGTAAATATTGCAAGAAGAAGCACAAACAACATATAATGGCAGACAATGAAATAAGGTAAACACATCAAACAGTACCGATACCGCTGCTGCATGCAGCCCGCTCCATATATTGCTGCGGCATGCAGCCCGATCCGTTTATTGTCGACGACGCTCACTGGGGGTGTGCAGACTCCGGGAGGGGCCCCTTATGGTCCAAGCGTAATATCAAGCCATCTCGTGGCATCAAATCTAGGCCCTCGGCCTTATATCAACATCAGTATAACACTGCTGCGGCGTGCAACCCGATCCAAAGGTATCCTCACAATACAGGCCCTCGGCCTTACTCAGTCAACAAAATAACATAAGCCGCTCGGGCAACAATAAAGCATGATGCTCAGCCCAAAAATATATTTAGAAATATCATTTCGAGTGTTTAAGGTATAGTAAACTTGGTTGAGTTTTAAACAGTGGAAAATACATGACTGAGTTCAATTATATAATTAAAATAGTGAGGAATTATCAACAACAATCCCCAAAGGGTTCAAATAGTTGGCACGAAGCCAAAATATGACAATCAACCCAAATTGTGATAATAGCAAGTAATTTCAGTCAAATACG